TGTGACTATACCCAATTGCTGTCTCTACAGAATCTAAGAATCTGGACCATTTTATTCCCTGGACAGGAAGGCAGAAGGATCAGACGCCCAGGGTTCCCTCCGCTTCCGTTACTGTCCATTCATGCCTCTTCATAGCAGGCTTCCAGAGTCAAAAAAAAAAAAAAAAATATGTTCACATGTGACCCCTCTGCTGGCCTTGAATTCAATTTTCCTGTTTCGATGATGTTAGATCAGGCCATGATCCATCCAGGTCCATCCAGGACACTTTTGTATGAGAAAAATCATCCTCTACTTCAGCCCTCTCTCTCAAGGGGAATTGGGCTCTTGCCAGTTACAAACCATTCTCAAGCCTCACAGTCTCAGCTGGGTTGGTTCCATTTATCACCTTTGTGAAGTCTTCTCCTTCTAAGGCTGTGTATTAGTAATCAAAGAGCTGCCTAGCTCTTCAAACCTTCACCCATTCTTTGTTTCTTCCTATTGCTTCCTGTAGTCAGTTGTTGACATCAGTGAGGTGATTTTACTGGGTGATTTGGGCCCATTGGTAGGTCTTTTGAAGTGCATGCGGATGCCTGAATGTGGGGGTTTTGCTGAAGAGGTTATCTCAGGTGACTTTGTTTTGCTATTTTCAGTGCTGTGTCTCTTTTTGTCAAAGAGATTAGACACACACACACACACACACACACACACACACACACACGCAAACACACAATCTGGATGTGTGTCGTTATACATTTTTGTCCAAACTCACAGATTGCATGACACCAAGAGGGAAGCCTAATGTATAATGGACTTTGACTGATTGGAGCATGTTGATGACTCTGGTAGTGACATTGATAATGGGAGAGGCTGYGCATGGGGTGGGAGCATCAGAAGGGAAAGGGGAAATCAACTGAACTCTGAGGCCCTCCACGGTGGGTCTCCTTCCCGTGCAACTTCATGCACAGTCTTCTCTCTCTCTCAAAGAACAGCTGAGATTTCTTTCTGCCTCTCCCTTTGCTGGGGATGCTTTTCCCTAAACTAAATCCCCCAGGCCTTCTCCTCCCATTATCCCCTATCTTCCATCCCCCAGGGGCCAGTTCATGTCTTGCCTTCTCCAGGACTTCCCCTCCGGTCTGTCCTCCTCCACAATCTCATCACCACAGTTACATTTATTGAGCACTTGATTTTAAATGCTACGCACTGCTAAATCTTATGTAATCCTCACAACAACCCAATGAGACGTTGCAATGACCATCCCATTTTACAGATAAGAAAAAGGAAACTTAGAGAAGTGGAATACAACATGCATGAGGTAACAGAGTGGCAAAATGGGGATTCAAACCTGCATGGGGTCACTGTGCCTGCAGAGACCACCTGCTCTATCACTTACCAGTGTCTCAGATGGCTTCCTTTAACTTTTCTGATGAACATCTTTCCAAACATTACTTTCTCTTCCTAGATATAAAGATGCATGCTGCCCCAAATACATAGGAAAAAAAAAGGTTGCATGAATTTTATGTAAAATGTGCATAAATCAATCCCTTGGTTCTTAAAGTTATTAGCTACAGAAACAGGAAGTTTTGTCTTCCAACTCGATTTTAAATTCCTCAGTGTTCTTTTTACTTTTGGATATCCCTCTCTAGTGCAATTAACTCAGCACTAAGCACTCAGCAGGTGCTTTATAAATGCTCATTGACGGAAAGGATATAACAGAAAAAAAAAGGCTAATTTGCAGATGGGGGTTACAATAGGTTGTCACAAAGGCCCGGAGGATAGAAGACATGTCTGTTATCTCTCTATGGTCACTCACTTCTAGGTGACTTTGGGCAAAAAAAACTTAGGTGAGGAGGTTAAGAAATGAGCCTCCTGTCTTTGCAGCTCTAGAGGAAGGCCAGACACATTCGTCATGGTCATCAAGCCACCTCCTGGGGAGGGAGGTTTGGAGGGGAAGGGCGATAACATCTATCAATTGCTCAGAGCTTCCTGCAGAAGCCAGACCACACATGCTCTGAGGGTAATTGCAGGGGGAAGGAGTAGGGCAGGAACAGGAGAGCCAGTCCTTGTGCTCACCCAGCAGGATGTGAAAAATTCAGCTGGGTTCTTTTTATAGTTTCAATCATCCCTGGTAATGAAGATTCTGCAATTAGAACTCAGCTGGCAGTTGTGTTGGGGATGTGTGAGGCAGAATGGGATCTTGGGTCTGCAGGAGGGCAGGCCTGTTTGTCAGAAGACTTGAAGGCACCCCAGGGATAAGGACCAGAGCTATTTTTACAGACTTTTTCCTAGCCATGATCACACCTTAAATAAGTTCCACTTGGGCATTACAACTTTTTACATTTTCTTTAGCCTACATTCAGTTCTCGATTATCTATACAAATGGAGGGAGATATTAATATAATTAATATAAAATGGTGGCACCTCCCTCATTTATTTAGGCTCCCACTATATGTGAATTTGTGATAATTTTACTTGGGCTTGTTTGGAATTTACTTGTATGTACTCTATGAAGAGAACATTTGTTAAAAGCCATCCTAAATGGGTTAGCCTACTTARGAACGTAAATTGCTTTCAAATACTTAAGCAGAGTGATAGGTAAATTTTTATTGAGCACTTGCTATGTGCTGAGCACTGTACTAAAACCTCTACGTATGTTATTATCCATAACTCACTTAGACACCTTGTTAGATAGGCACTTGTATGATTCCTAATTTATAGGTAAGGAAATGGGCCTCTTGTCCAAGGTCACATAGCTGGGGAAGTGGCAGATCCCATTTCTAGCCAAACCTGACTCAGCCACTCCTGCTCACAAGCATGAAGCAATCAGCTAGTTACAAACCAGCCTCCTCTGAGCACAGAACAGCACTGAAGGGCTCTGCATGGCATCACTGTTAGCAATTGGAGTCATCAACATGGCTGTTTGAAAATCTTTGCAGTAAAGGATGGGGAAGCAGCAGTTTCGCATTCCTTGCTTGTTTATGTACCTCATGGTTCCTTCTCYATTGAACTTAAAAGTCTCACTAGAACTCCTACACTCTGACAATCAAAATTTTATTATAAAAATGGAAAACACATCTGCTCAAATTGACACGTCCATCTGATGAGCCTCAAGCTACTGTCAGAGTCTTGCACTGGGTTATGGGCTGGGCCGATGCCTCCTAACCCTTCTTCAGGTGAAAACTCTGGGATCAGATATACCATGATCAGGCTGCCAGGTTTGGGGCGGTAGAGGGTCATATGGAAAAAAAGAAATAGAGGAAGAAAGAAAATGCACTGCTTTTCAGGGCTTCCATAGTTATAGAATGCTATAATCTATTTAATGCTTTTTAGAGGAGGGGACATCTGGAGGGGCCCACTCACAAATGTACAAACTAAATTCTGTCACAAGAGAAGCAGCAATGCTCTGCGGGTACAGATGACTCTGATCAAATATGCTAGTATCCTAGATCATGTGGGACCATCACAAAAGATTACTACACACACACACACACACACACACACACACACACACACACACCTTCTGAACAGAATGTACCGGAAAATCACATTCTCCTGGTACTCTAAGCCTACAAATCAACCATCAAAATGTGAAGTCCTATTTTACACTCGTAGTTGTAGCAATGCAACAAGATTTAATAAATGATATTTAGTGCCAACATGCTAAAAATTGATAAGCTGGTAATGTTTCCTTCTGAAGACTGAACCAGAGAAAATGAATTGAAGCTTAAGAGAGTCAAGTAGCTACTCCTAAAACAAGAGATTTTGGATGCTTTGCAAAATCAATTTCACTAATATCTCTCTCTCTCTCTCTCTCTCTCTCTCTCTCTCTCTCTCTCACACACACACACACACACACACACACACTCACACAAGAATTTTATTCAAGGTAGGAAAGCAGTTTAAAGCAAGTCTGCTTTGGCCTTAGGTTGGATTTTTAGTTTTGCAGAAATGTGGCTATGTTAAAATAGAAAGAGAAACCTAAGTATGGCTTTAAATGTAATGAACTTGGCATTCCCCCCTGCCACACAGATTATCCTGAACAAACCTTCAACATCTGGTTGACTTAATCTCTGGTAGATTGTCCCCACCTTCCTCAGTTCTACTGCATTCAGTAGACAGGAAACAAAATATAAATTCATTTTCATTTAAGTAAATCTATGCTTGGAAAAAAAAACTACATTAAAAGGAATCACCAATTATCCTCCAAGGACAACTATCCAAAGCCCTATTTTTGTGATCATCTTTATGCCAATGCTCACTTCCATTTATGTGGGTAAATAAGAACCCACAGATCGTAAACAGTGCACTATAGATATTGCTATGCACATAGGCAGAAGTTGGGGCAATGAGAATATATTCTCCTGAATTTATGTTAGGTAAACCRTGAGGGTGGGCTGCACATGGCCGTGGATGGGCCAGGATGAGAGAGGTGAACTGAAGAGATGGAAGGAGGTAGGTGAGGAACAAGAATCAAACCGTCGTGGATAAAGAGGGTGCCCAGTAATGGAGGAAAGAAACCAGGGGTTGTGCAGAGCTGCCCCCAGCCCACATGATGGCATTTTGGAAATTAGAGAAGGATGTGGCTCTGGGTAAATGCAGCCCAGTGGAGGAGTTCACAGCTGGGCGAGCACTACTCAGAATGGGTTTCAGTCCCCTCTGTATCCTGGGCTGGGTCTTGTGCTCAGGATGCAGATTGTTGTCGGGAGTCGCTCTGGACAGGACCTATGTACGTGGTGAGTCTGCCCCGGGCTGTGTGTGTGTGTGAACTATGAACACTGAGCACGCAAAGTGCACTGGACTGACGATGCCTCTGTTTGGCTGGAGACATGTGTCCTTTTTGCTCGCTGTGCTTCTGACCCCCACACAGCACATGAGATAGGCCTGGCCTTCCAAGATGTCAGTGAATCTGCTGACAGCAGACATCACCAAGTTAGACTCAACCCTCTGAAACCTGACCCCTTGCCTCATGTGCATGGCTTCTCCCCAATAAAAGGGCTCAGCACATGCTCCTTGCCCTCTTTCTTGCCCACTGTGCCCTGCTGGTGGGAGTTACGGCTGAGGAGCAGTCACTGGACCCAAAGAAAAGGTACTTTCTATGTCTGTGTCTTTATTTAGTCCCCAAATTCACTTGGGGTGACCCTGACCCGTTGAGTCATGTGGTCACAATAGACTACAAATATAGAAGGTTGCCCTGAGGTCAAGGCGAAGAGCCTGGAAAGATCCTCTGAGGGATGTCAGGGAGACTTTGGGAAAATGTCATAAAAATAAAATTAAAAAAATATATATATACACCTAGCTTTGAAAATGTCTATAGGAAGAAATAAAAACAAAAATCCTTCTTGCTCACAAACCAATCAAGGAAGTTGATACTTTCTTGAATATTCTAGGGGAAAAAAATGTATGTCTAACATAAAAGTATTTATATGATATCAAATATATGTGCGTGTGCGTGTGTGTGTGTGTGTGTGTGTGTGTATATATATATATACACAGGTCATTTTATATTTACCTAAAGCATTCCTATTTTACATACCTTCTGCCCCTTGCTTTCCCACCTATTTTGACGTCGTTTCATATCTGTGTATATTAACCTGCCTTTTTCCTCTTTGTTGGATACCTGGAATCCCATGATATAGACATAGTATTGTTATTTGATATTTGATATATAGCCATCTGTTGTTATTTGCTGTTTAATTTCTCTCTTGTCTCTCACTGTTCTGGTTCTGCACTAATGTCCCTTCCGATCTTTCTCGGTACATTGGTTGAGTAGGGAAAATGAAATGGAACCACAGAGTTTCTGTGTTCTATTTATACTTCCTGTGGAGAGTGGCTCAGTGGACTGAGTTACATTGAATTATATGTGGCTCTGCTTCCAGATTTCCTAAAATGAGAAATTGAGGAAGAAGTTACATTAATGACCTTCCTTCTTGAAGTTTCAATCAAGTGATAGGAAAGCAATCTGCATAGTAATTACAACACCCTTCCAATTGAATCCTTGTGCCCCAGTGGAGGAGAGCGTGGAAGTCATATCTATAATGAAATTCAGACCCATCCGCTTCTAAACTGCAGGAAGGTTAATCAGGCTGTGCAGTCACACTCAGAAGAGGCATAATATATAAAATACTGGTCACTGGGACAGCTCACATTGTTCTTCTCAATGGTGGAGGGCAACAGGAAATAAGCTGTCACCTGGACAAGGTTTGTACTAACAGGGACCTTAATCTGGGACTTCTTAGTACATTATAAAGGTACTCCTGACCGTTCTGAATTATGAATGGAAGACACGCCTTTCCCAGCATCTGAGCAGAAAATATAATGTCCAGAGTCCTTGCCCTAAATCCTCAAATCAAAGAATTCTGAGACTAATGGATGGTACTGTGCTTATGGGTCGTATTYGGGGAGAGTTAGAGATATTTAGTAGGAGGAGAACAGAACCCCACTGGTACTTCAGTTACTGAGAATGTGAGGCTGGGTGGATTTATTCTCATGGCATTCCTCACATTCTTACAGAGTGCCCTGATGAAATTTCACAAAGTCTTTCTGAGATTACATAATATTGCCTTCTAAAGAAGAAATAAATCTTTCGATTCTCAGGGCTTTGGTGGTAACTAGAGAACCACCACCTGGAGTTTAAAACCTGCTGACTGACATTCAGGAGAATTCCGTGGTCTCCAGGTTGCTCCCAGGGAGCCCTCTTTGCTTTTCCATTGCCAAGTTACCTCCAGTTCTGCTGAAGGCTAGCAAATAGATGAGACCTGGGCCACTGGATGTGTGCATCGTCCAGTTGGGCTCTTCAAAACAGAAGCGAGGCCTGGCAGGGTAGCTCTGTGATGGAGCACTTGTCTAGCAAGTGGTAGACCCTGAGTTCTATCCTCAGAACTGCCTAAAAGCAAAAAATAAGACAATAACAACCAAAATCAAGGTAAGTTTTATTCCTTTTTTGTTTATTTTTTTGTTTATTCCCAACAACTGCTCTAACCCCAACAAGATGTCAGAGAATGGTATTTTTCCCAGAACCCCAAAGCAACCCTTATCTTTGTTGAACTAGAGGTTCTGCTTGGTCCTCTGCAAGGCCTGGTGATCGGTGGTGTCACATATGAGGTGGGCCTGTATGGAAGTGCCAAGTGAGAGGCATTAGAGAGCCACCAGTTATTTTACATAAAATGGGACATCTATAGCATAAGATGCTATAGCTGGATAGTGTTGCTAGATTGTATTGCTTTTTAAAAAAAAATCACTGAGTGTGTGTGTGTGTGTGTGTGTGTGTGTGTCTAATCACCCTCTGACTCAACATCACAAGGATTGTATTTTGGGCCTACCCAGATAATCTGGGATAATCTCCTCATCTTGAAATCTTTAATCACATCTGCAAAGACCTTTTCCAAATAAGGTAACACTACAGGTTTCTTGGAATTAGGACCTCATATCTGTGGGAACTATTTTTCAGCCTATTAAAAAATGCTTCTTCTATATATTTCCTATATTGCGATGCCCGCCCATTAGCATTTTATAAATGCTTCCTTAATGGAATCGAACTTTATTGGAATGAACCCCATCTGTCCAAAAGATGAGCCTGAATGAATGACCTGGACAGGCGCCTCACACCAGATTTCTCACTTCAGGAGGAAGAAAACCTCTCTGCACTGCGTGTTAGACCCTGAACCGGGCTTTTCCCATACTTTGCCTCACTGAATTCTCTAGCTTTTGCCATCTACTGGAGCAAACCCAAAAACAAGAGATAAAAAGAGAATGAGGTAACCGAGTGAAAAAAAAGGAAGTGGGAAAGCAGTTTGGGGTTGTTTTTCTCTTGCACAAAAGGTGGAGGATGAAATTGAAGCCTCAGGGAAATGAACTAGAACATTGATTCACATTCTCTCTGCTCATTCACCCGTCTAATTCTGTTTACATGAACTAGTCCCATGGCCGCAGGAACCTCTGAGCATGACTGTCATGGAATACAGTGGCACACTTGGAAACAACTGCTGGCCACTCAAATTTCTTCTCTTTGATCAATCATAAATTCCAATTTTTTTTCCTGATTCCCAGACCACTTCTGTTATCTACAGGGTTTTGCTGTGTAAGCCCATATATTCATGAGTCAACAGAACGTAACTTAGTCTCACCCAGGAGAGATGAAATGGCTTTGACTTTAGTAGATAACAACAACAACAACAACAACAAAATCCAAAAGGAATCTAAAGTTTGGAGCTGGAGGAAGAAAATGCTTAGGTTCAGAATAAACTTTCAAGAATGTAGAGGTATAGGATGATTAGAGACAGAGAGAGATAGCTCACATAGGGATGCAGGACAGCAAAATGTTAGTTGAGGAGAACCGATTATTGGTTACATGGAGAAAACCATTTAGACTGCAGGAGGTAAAATATAGGCAGCCAAGCAAGGAGGAATGGTGTCTGTTCTCTAGTTTCATGCATATTTACCTTCTATGATGAAAAGTCTCCTCAGCCACTTCATAGAATGTTTTCTTCTTCTCCTTATCTGGCGTGAAGCCCATCTCTCCTTTGACATACGTGAAATAGGAGCTGAGGATTTTTAAGTCCCTTTTACCAAAGAGCTGGAAGATGGGTAGTCAGTGCCCATGCTGCTGTCAAACCAACACTCTTCTCCTTCCTGCCATCTGGTATTTTGTTCTCTGCACATTCTCATCACCAACCTTGCCAAAATCTTAAGTTCTTCCCAAACCGCCACCTTCCTAGATGATACCCATATGGACAGCCTATGTTGGACCCCATCACGCCACTGATCCTCTTCTCACCCAAGTCACTTGTGATCTGGTTACTAAACCCAGTGGAAATTTCCCCATCCTTAGCTTTTCTGCTGCATCTCTGGAATTTTGGCCATTCACCCCTCTGAAAGTGTCCTTACCTGGTTTCCACCACTCTCCACCTAATCTTCTCTCTGGATGTTTCTTTTTGTAAGTCTTGGTAATCCTTCAATGCTTTTTCTTCTATTTGATTTTTTTTTTCATGGTTTTGACTACCATCAATGAACTAATGATTTCCAAATATTTCTTTCCAGCCCAGTTCTCTCCCTGTGGAGCTCCTGACCCACACAGAGAACATTTTCTTCCACTTGCAAATTCTTCCAACACTTCAATTTCAACCTATTCAAACTGAACTCACTGTCTATCACTCCAAACTAGCTACAATTCTGTATATTATTAGTTTGATTTTTATTGATTTATGTTTAATTGTACCATATGAAACATGGATGTTATTAGTCTTGTTATTTTTTTAGAGTATATTTTTTAGTTATAGGTGGACACAATATATTTTATTTTTATGTGGTGCTGAGGATTGAACCCAGATCCTTATGCATGCTAGGTGAGCGCTCTACCTCTGAGCCCCAGCCCCAGCCCCAGCCCCTCTTGTTATTTTTTAAAGTAATTTGATTGGAGCATAAAATACAGAAAAATTGATGAAGTATATATAGATTGATGAATTATTAGTAAATGAGCATTAATCTAGTCATCATCCAGGTATAGAAGTAGAACATTCATCAGCTTCTCAAATGTCTATCTATATGCTTTCCCAATCACTTAACTTCCCTCTCCTCTTAAAGTTAACCTTATATCACAAATTAGTTTTATCTGTTTTCCAATTTCAAAAAAAATGGCATCATAGAGTATGCATTCTTTTGTGTCTGRCTTCTTTTGCTTAACATCATGTTAGTGAGATTTGCCCAAGTAATCTCTCTAGGTGTGGGTTCATTTATTTTCATTCCTGCATAGTGTCCATCCTGCAAATATATCATCATTTATTTACCCATTTTATCATTGATGGCATTTGGACTATTACAAGTTTGGAGATATTATAGATGCTATTTGAACATTCTGGTATGTACCTTTTGGCACATATACCTCTGAAAGCTTCTGTCCTTTGGTCCGTCACTTTTAATGCTTTAATTAATGACTCATTAGATCCATGAGTCACTCAAGTACATTAGGCAGTAAAGTAAAAAATTCAAAAAGCTCTCGCTATGTTGTAATAATTGGCCCAAAGTAATGAAGTTAAATTTAACAGAGATAAATGTAAAAATTTCCACTTTACTTCAACAACTGAATTATAT